CACAAACCTTAAATGCTGTCAAACACCTCAAACTGCTAGATTACAATAGTAAAGAAAGTAGGCTGGGAAGAGATCTCATTTAGCCCTGCATATTTTACTTAAGCTTTGTTTGTTCTCTACTATAGTTGATTACACAAACATACACAAGTATTGCAGTCTTTTCAAAGTACATGGAATTTTGTGTACATCATAAACAAATGTTGCATTCAAGTATTCTCACAGATTTCCAAATGATGAAATCACAATAAGGAAAAACACAAATATGCTCTTATCTTTCAATTTGAACTTGAAGATCAACCTTTTCCATTGACAGCCTTACACACAACTGTTTGGCCCCTGGCAATGTGTCTAGACAACGTCTGTTACTTGTTTCAGTTCTGAAAGATAAGCACTAAATAAAATGGTCATTACAAATAAAGCTCTCCAGAAAAAAAGAGGTGCAAAGTGTTTCTTAATCTTCTACAAAAAGAAATAGGTCTGTCTTGCATATTTCCTTTACATTTAAATAGTAAGAAATTACTGGAAGGCTGCTGGTCACAGCATGATAGAATCATAGAATGGTTTGGGTTGGAAGGGACCTCAAAGATCACCTAGTTCCAACTCCCATTCATAGGCAGGGACACCTCCCACTAGACCAGGTTGTTCAAAGCCCTCTGACAACTAAATATGTCCACATATTAGCTATCCACCAGGGCACAACAAGCAGGTACATAAGAATAGGAAATGAATACTTTAAAAACAATATATAAGAAGGTGGTAATCAGGGCACATCTTACTTAGCAAAAACATTTAAAAAAAAGCACAGGGAAATAAAAAAAAAACAAACTTGAATGCCTTGTTCTCAGTAGCATCACTAACAACATGTTCATACTGTGTAATCTGTCAAATAATCCAGTAAAATTTGTAAAATACTGAGCTGGAGATATCTAATGAATTATCATTATGATAACATGTCCCTGTAGTTGACTAAGACTACAAAGAAAGAAACCAAATTTGAATAAGGTATTTTAGATGTTATATCTTATCACCTTCATTATTACTGTGGCATACATTGTGTCTGTAAAGAGGCACAAATATGAACTAGATGGTGACCCTCAAAACCAGCATGTACAGTGAATACTTCCATTTATAAAATACTGTGGTGAAAATGGAAAATGTTGCAACCCACAGAAAAGAATATAAGCCAAAATGAATGTGCTGATTAAAAAACCCAACTGCAAAAAAAGGGAAAGTATAACAGTAAAGAGATACCAATGTAAAGATTTTCCTGAGCCAAAGCCATGTTCTTGTCAAACAGGAGAACCTTAATGAAACACATCATAATTAACCTTGCAGTAGCTTGAACAACCAGATTGATTCTGCAGTTAGGTAAACACTTAAAAATTGTATTTATGTCAAATGGATTTCCATAAGAAAACGACATGAAAGTGGATATGAAGATCAACATTAAATTCAAAACCCTTGTATTAAAGTGTAACTTTGTAAGGGAAAAAAAAATGAAGGGATGTCTTTTCCTAAATGTACTTTTTCAGTGTAAACCAATGGTTCTTTTTGAACAGTTCTTTACCTAGGAAAATAAATAATGATATTTTTTCTTTCAAATGTGAAAGAATATACCAAGAAAACTTATGAAAAACATTTATATGCTGCCACCACTTCAGAATTCAAAGGAAGAGACTCTACATTGCTCTTTTAATCATTCTCACTCTTCATATACTCACCTGTTTTCTTCAACATGCACACACACTTAAACTATCTTTGTAATACCCTGGTATTCTTTGAAATAGGGTTTTTAAAAAATACAAAAGACATCTTCACAATAACCAGGTAATAAATGTACCTCCCCAACTTACACAATGCCTTCACATTTTTATTCTTTCTAGGGGAAGGTGAATATTTTTACTACCAGTAGTACAAAAAGTTGACTGAGTAAGATCTTATGATTCTGGAGTGTATTCTTAACAACCTCAGATATTTGTTTTAACAGTACAGACAATTCTCACAGCTTACATCCTCAAACCTGGATATTGGCTCACTATACAATGCTCTAGCTAGAGTCACACTTGTAGTGTGATTACCTACTGAGATCAATAACAATATCAGAAGAGCATTACAAATCATAGGGCTACTAGGAGTGATTAATGAGGCAAAAATTATGGTCTTCTAATATTTCACCAGATTTTAATACAAGCAGTAATCATTAAACATCAAAAAAAGTAGATGGCAGAGAAAGTATAACACAGGTTTGAATTTTGCAAATCATTAGAGAGATGCTACTGTACACCATACATTAAAACACGTGGAATTCTGCAGTTAAACATTAAGCTGTTAATACACTAACAGCCTTCAATTACTGACTGCTCTTCCACCTTTCATGGTAATATATTAACAATTATTTCCCCTGCATCGATAGATGGTCTATCATGTACTATAATCTAGCAGGTTGTATTGGCAGACATGATGGAAAATGAACTTCTATTTTACTCTCACAGTCAAAGACCTATTTATGCAAAAAGTCTGATTACAAAAAGAAAGTGAAATAAGACAGACATGGAGAGATTTAAAAAAATAAATCTGAATTTTATTAAATAGCTGTATGAATTTGGAGTAGTCAGAGAGCAGAATTATTTCAACCATAACTGAGTAGTTAAAATTCTACCTGTCTTTATATTGCTGTCATAGAAGATGACCTTTATATATCTGATACTGTCAGAATACAGGGAGTTAAAGACAGCATGGGTACAAGATCCATGCCTGCTACAGAGCAGTCTGTCCTAATCCATACTGGATTTTTTCATCAACCAACACTACTGGAAAGAAATTCTTTCTTCTCCTGTGGCTACTCATCCAGACTACACACCACTTTTCTACCACAGACAGTAACATGTCAGTTTGCATAGCTGAAGTCTGCATGAGAAACCTAAGGATTTCATCAGTACATTGGCCATCAAGAAGCATTCATTTTTGTAAAAATCCAGGCCAGTACATACAAAAACACATCAATTTTAAAACCTTAAACCTAAGACATCAAGATTTTAGAAATGTCAAAATAAAGGTAGACTTGTAAACTTTAATTGTGATAACTTTCTGTGCATGCCTCTTCACATCACACACTCTGTATATGCATGCAAAATAAATACACGTTTTCCTTCAGACTAATGAATCATTCAGCACTCTGGGAGAACAACGCTCCAGAAAGCAGCTGTGGGGCAGTGATGATTTATCCACAATATACCAAGCTTCTATAGAGAAGGTGCAAAATGTTTCGTGAACATGAAAGGGGATCACAGGAAGGAGGAGTATGTTGTCATGCATGAACATGTTACTCTTTAGAATAAAAAAAAGTAGAATTTGTTTCTATTACAGGGTTCCTACATGATGACAGTTACTCATGTAACCCATACACCACCTTTTAACCTCCAGGTCATGGAGTTTCCCCAGAGGCAGAACACAGGTGTAAGACAGTCCTATGACTGAAGTAATTCAAAATATTGCTCTGAAATTCTTGATCCATTTAAAATTGTTCCTGGAAAATACAGCATCTTGGAGTTCTGAAGGAGCAGACAACAAAGTCCGCATTAGACAGTCTTCTTTTTTCCACAGTTTTTCAGAAGCAAATCACAGCTATCCTGCAGTCTAGGTTAACTGTTGCTGCATCCTGATTCTCAGTGCCATCATTCCTGAAAAGGCGTTAGCCAGCCCTCTTACACCGGACTGGAAATGCTCCTATCAAGTGAGAAGTCTCTGAAGAAAGACAGTAGCTGGGAGAAGGACTGCTACCATAAACACAGGAAAAAACTGAAAATATCTGGATGGATGCTTCTGAAAAAGTTAGGCGTGGCTCAGTAGTTAAACAGCAAACAGTCAGCAGAAGGTAAAGAGATCACAGGACATCGATCTCATACTACAAGAAGAATTTCAGTCAGATTACAGTTGTACCTGCCTTTATTTTCATGGTTCTTGGCTAAAGATATCTTATTTCTGACAATAAGACAAAGAGGAGGTAATGGGACCTACATTGACATTATAATCTCAACACACTAGATGCTAAAGTTTAAGGAGCTGTTCTTTCCAAACATTCCGAAGTAAAAAGCTGAGTAAGGAGGCAGACATGCAGTTTAAAGGAAAGATGGGTGTTGGTAACATCAGCTGACTCAAATCTTGTCTGAAGTAGAAGTTCTGGCAATTCATTCTAACAGTAATAATAGACAGAGAGAATCCCACTGTGTCCTCTCAATATGGTAACACTGACCTTATGATGGACTTTCATAGTAACTGCTTGAGAGAGTGACTGTCCTCCTGCTGTGAAAACCATTCATTTAATATTACCCCATTCAAAAAATTATGCCGTTTGGTTTTTCTCCTTCTAGCACAGTAATACTTTTTTTTCCAACTCACAGCCAGTTCTCTACAATCCTACTTCCTAAAGTATCTGGTCAAATCAATGTTCATTGTAAACAATGAAGCATAGTAATCATCAAAACTGTCAGTTCATGTCAACAGGATTTGCTTTTACTACCTGTTGGAAAATTATATATTTAGTTTGCTTTTCTGCTTCCTCTATCAAGACTGCTGGTCCAATTGGACTGCTCATTAAAAACCCCAACACCTACATAGCATGAAATTACATAGACTCATATAAAAGAATTTATCTGAAAATAGTTAATTTATGCTCCAAGATAATATTTAGGATACTGGCAAGAGTTTGGTACTTCTCATATTGCCTAAAAACCCAGAACATCTGCATTGCATGCCATCTTCTAAAACAACCCAAATTCTGCATGTTTCTTCAGAGAGAAAGTTGTATATTTACTATCTGATAAAACAGGATGCAAAACACTAACATCATCTTTCCAAAACATAACCCAATCAGGTTTAGAAACAGTGGGCTTTCAAACTCTTGGAGAGCAGGAGGGCAGGAAAGTCAAAAGAGTTACTAAGAATATTTCAGTAATTCATACTCTCTCACAAACATTACCCACTTAAGACATTCATTTTACCTTGAGAAGGTATGTAGGAATATTGCTGAAATCTACAGGCAACTTCAAGAGGAAGCGAGCTGAGAATTCTCCAGTCTGTGGAAAAAAGTTAACATGAGTGAAACCTGTGTGTAAAACAGAACTTCAGATTGAACATTCCTAAGATGAAATATTAACCAGAAAAATGTGTAAGAGCTCATACCAAACAGAAGGGCTGAGATTTAAGACACCATTTCTCAATGGAATTACTGAAGAGGAAAGGAATAATTCACAGATTTCACAGATGCTGTGTGAGAAAACACCTCAAGAAGCATAACACATTATTGCCAGCAAGACAACAGCAAAAAGAATACAACCATGTGCATGACAAAAATCAGACTGTACTTTGTTAGGCCCTAAATATAGACGTATCTTGGCTGTACTCATTTCCGGACAAAGGTCCAGCAACACCTGCAAACAGTTTGAAAGCAAAGCTAAAAACCTGACCAATTTATAAAACCGTAGAGAAAACAGAGGCACCTTCACAAACATTGCAGTTATATATAAGAGAATTTGCATTGAGTAAGGTGTATAAAAATTGTCCTCTGAATAATGACAGAAGAAAGAACTGCAATATAAGGTTTCATATAATTTGTTTTCAGAATTATGTGACTCTTAACACCTAGACAACCGTTTACTGGACATTTGCCAAGTGTCCCCTACACATTCCTCTTTTTTATGCATAAACTGTATGCAAAGGAAATGGAAAGGATTTCCTTTCTGTTTCATACACTTCCTCAAAACCAGACTGGGTCCACCTGGTTATGAAGCAATAAAGTTGGTTCTTTTAAAAAAAAAAAAAAAATGCTCGTCCAATTTCCTCATATCAATTTTTTGTAACCCGTTATTTTTTTTTTTTTTTTAATTCAATAAAATAGCCATACAGCCAATAGGTATATCTGTAAGGTTGAATTAGCAGTACAAAAAGCATGAAACATTAATTTTGTTAAAAGCTAGGACATCTTGAGACAAGATAGCACAGCTTTTTTCAGTTTTAACCCTGCCTTATCTTTGCATACATGCACTACTTAGTTATGTGGTGACACACATTTTTAAAAAACCAATACTTAATTTTTACAGGCAAGGGGACAAATCAAAGCTGTATGAATACTGAGCATTCATTCTCCCACAGTGACATATACGTTCTACTTCCCTATTCCCTCAACATAGTTATCTGTACCTTATTTTCATTTTACTATTTTAAATGTTTTGCATAGGCAGACAACATGAGAAAAAAACCAACACACTTAAACAAGAAATATATGATACATAAATTTTGAGAAAGTGCACATCCACCTATGGCAACTGTGTATTGCAATTCTCATTAAAAGGGTGAATGTAAATACTACACTAGATTTAAACAGGGTCATCTTTATTGTGTATACAGCTGTACCATGTGGTAAGCAAAAGCCTGTAATACATCTGAAATAATGGAAGTATGCTTTCTGTAAAAAGCAGCAGTGGCAATGAAAGAGATGGAGACAATCTTGACAGCAAGCATGTTTCCTGATATCATGTCCAGGTATCTTCTAAATATCTCCAAGCATGGAAATCCCACAATCTCTCTGAGTAACCTCAAGCAGTGCTCTGTGTCCTGCAATACTCAAGAGCTTAGAACTCACACAGACATCAGAGGGATGCCTTCTAGGTCACTGCTTTACTACATTTTGTAGGTGTTACCACTAGAACTCCAAATAGCTAAGGGGACAGTTTATCAAAGGCCATGACAGCTCTTCTAGAGACATGTATTTAGCCTTTTTACACCTGTGCTGTAAGTGAACGTTTGCCATGTGCCTTTGCAGAAGAGTCAGTATGGTTGCCTGCCCTCTCAAGCAGCTAGGCACATACAGAAAAAGCTGCTGTAGTAGGCAGACATACAAGAAGTAATGCTAATATCAGTGCCAAATTTTTCTTGGTCTACCTATCAGGCATGGACTAGAGACACCTTCCAGTCACCAAACAAGAAAAAACAAGACCTCAAATGCAAGCAAAACCTTTCCAACGATACATTGCTAGTTATAGCATTTGCCAAAAGGATTTGTATGATGATTGTTTGTAATCTACCATGCTCAGACCTGCCCTTACAATTTGTCCCCTGGTAGTCACACAACAGAAGCAAAGCAATTGCACACAGAAGCACTGTGCCACAAAACGTGAGCATATATTACATTAAAGCCAGGCTTCAAAACCCTTCTTGGCACTACTTTTGAGGACAGGTATAAACTTTCTGATACTGTATTACTACTGTATGCAGGAAAAAATATTGACTTCTTGCGCATAACATGAAGACTACTTTGATGATAGGGTGCTTGCTTTTTATTCAGAAGTGGGTATTATAGACAATGCCTCTTGTCTGGATTTAACTTCAAAAAAGATTCCATACAACGTTTGTCATGAAATCCAGAAAATTATTTCTGCTAAAATACCAAGTCTGATTAACTGGTACTGCCAGTGAACAGATGAATGGCCTCTGATCAAATCATCAGCTGCTCCATATTGTGGAAGTTAGTATTTGGACTCTAGAGCTTTTATATCATTCAATAAGGATTATTTTGTAATGCATTATATCCAAAAGTGTTCTGAAGGGGTAGGGTGCAGTCCCTGCCCGTGCAACTCACCCAACCAACAAGCTCACAGGCATCAGGTTGAGTCAGATTAATTTCTGGCTACAGCACTGAGAGATTAGGTAGTTAACAGGCATCTGTGTCAGCTGCTACTCTACCAGCACGAAGTTACTAAGCTAGAGAATGGTTTCTCTATTTGTCATGGATCTTGGAGATCACTGCAGGAAATTGGAGATACTGCAACAAAAGTATAAAAGCAAGTTACTGTTCCATTTTGGGACACAGAATTGAATCCAGGTCTCTACTTCCAACTTTTTAAACTCACGCACTTAAGATGGTTGCATTCATAACACAGTGCAGGTTCATTCATAGATAATTATTTCAGAAGGCTGTTGAGCTACTGTCAACCAACTCCTGAGAGACAGCAAAAACATGAACTTCCATAAGTTTAGGCAGAGGACATAACATGCAGTTTACAGCCTGCTTTTCAGATGAATACAGTCATTGAGCTGATCATCAAGATTAAAAAGACAGTTGTAAAAGAAAGGAAGGAGTAATATGCATGTTAGTTTCATAGTTTCGAGTTTTAAGGCACTCATAAACAAGCCTCTCATGTAAATACTAGGTTCATAGAATCTCCAAACAAGATCTGAGTCTTCTTGACAGAGAATGTAAACTTTGAAAACAAAGCACATACTACAGAAACCTCAAAGAGCTCTGCAATTATTAAAATGATTAGCTTTAAAATATATTTAAGATTTATTTTACTGAATTATTTTGACCTAAGACAGCATTTCAAATGGAAAAAAAAGCTCTTTATTCAGTCACCAAAGACAGGAAAGATTTGAAAAGCCTGAGTAGATAGTCTGTCCCATTAAAAAGAAAAGGAAAAAAAAATAGTTTTCTACAATCTTGAGTAAAATTTGGAAGCTGCCAACAATTTATCGAAACTCAGTACAGTTCAGAAAGCCTTCTGCATGTCCATAAACAAATCTGATGACACAGATGTGGCAAGCTGCAACTCAAGCTGTAGAGAACAAGATTGAAGAACAAAAACATTTAAAAACTAATTTGAAATTCTCTGATAAAGAAAATTTTACTTGGCTTAAAATAGAGTAGATGCCTCGTCTAAGAAAAGAAAAATAGATGAATATAAATACTGCGAGTTGTAAAGTAAATGTCCTTGCACTATCTGTAACTTAAGGATGATTAAAGTGAGATAAAGATGAATTCTAAGCTCTGATAACCAGAATGCTGAAGTTTCATCAGTTTTCAGACTGCATCTATTTCAGAGCTGTTGCTGCTTCTGCAGGCCAGTATATCTTAAGAGTATGTTATTGCTGAAAGCAAGAGGAGGACACGTTCAGGATAAACACAATTAGATATTTCCTGATATCTTATTCCAAATTTCCCATGATGAATACATTAACAGTGGAAAAAAACTGATTTTTGCAAAGCTTACTCTGTGGCAGAGAGCAATAAAAAAAATGTTTAAAAGTCAAATCACTCACTAAGCAAAATGTTTACATTGCCAGTAGCCTCATTTTAGAAAGATGAGATGGTATACATCGAGTTGTTTCTATAGTGCACAGCACACTTCCCAGGGAAAGGATACAAGTTCATGAAAGTGATAAGCCAGTTTAATGCCTGAATGTCATATGAAAACATGGCCCTACAAAGACACTGCTCTAGCGCATCTCACCTGTCCTGCTGTATAAAATTAGCTGTTTTTTTTTTCCTCTCCAATTTAGGTTCCTAAAGCAGCTCATCTCAGCCTAGGCAAGTGCCAGAGAGATCCAGGCAGCTGCAGCTACCAATTAAATCAACTCATTCACAACGTGGAACTATACCCTAATACATCTTACCCCTATGGAGGTTGATTTGCCCGGGCAGGGTGTCATACCAACACTGTTATTCTGCCTCTCAAAACTTCAGAACTAACTCAGTCTTCCACATAACTTTGTACTGTGCACAGACCTTTCAACCATTTCCAAAGTTTTCATGTATAAACTAGATGAATTAACACCAGGTTGAAAGACAATTACTCACCTGGAAATCTAGTCCAACCAAGGTAGTGGAACGACAGCAATATACAAAACAGGGAGTAGAAAAAGTGAGCTGGAGTCAAATACAAGTTTCCTTCATTGGAAACATAAAGCAGAGAGATCCACGGAAACAACTCAAGTTGTTCAAGACAAGAGCTATATTTATTAAATATAAAGGATCACTAAAAGCATTTTAGCATAAATATTCTTACCCAGTTGGTTTTCTTGCCAGCATAGATTTCCATGTTTTCTCCATACTGGGGCTCTTCCAGTAAAGTCTGATATTCAAACATGAGACGAGAGCTCTCACGTAATCGGCTGCACTGAAATTGGTGATACTGCTGCACAAGCTCTTTCACAACAAGCAGCAGGCATTCAGGGTTTGAAGGATTCCAAGCAGCTAAATTCTGTTAAATTAAGAAAGAACATAAAAAGGTCCAAATTACCATTCCATTCCTCCCTAAAATTATACTGTTGCATGTGATAACTTGAGAAGTTGTAATTAAAAAAAATTAAAACTGATATGAAATATCCATGGATCAGGTAAGTACAGCCCTGCACAATATCTGACTCAAAAAGCAGCCAGCTAAGTGAATACGCCAAATTTACACCAACCATGGAAACTACTATACTCCATTATTCAAACCGTGTATATAGTATTGACAGTGGTGGAACAAATGGGTTCTCTTCTGTTGCTTCACTTGTGCTTTACTTCACTTTGACTGTCTCTAGTTATCTTGACTCATCCCCTTAACACAAAGTCCATCTATACACAAGCCTCTTCAATGGGCCTGGCAGATGTTTTTATTACAAGCTGATTGCTTATCAAGAAACATGGCTAACAGAAATAAAAATCTTCAATCAATTAAGATAATTGTGTCAGTAGCAATGTTATCTCTTAGTTTAACTACTCTATCATTGGCTTAGACCAGTCTTCCATGCACAGTTAAATTTTATTCAGGAAGGTTTCCTGTGTTACAAATTATGCCTAACATGATCAATGTTGCATGCCTACATCTGGTTGATGTAGACTGACCTAGAATGGATCTATGTTAAGGGCAGATGAGAACTTCCACTGCACTCCATGCTTACTGGACGTAAGATAGGTCCAAAGCAGGAGCACATATGCTTTGTACTTATGTCCTCAACAGGTGGTCTTGATAAAACCTCAGGGCATGAGAACAGTTATGAGAGTTTTGGTCAGTTTTGAGTACAGGCAAAATTACTCTGTATTTCTGGATTGCCTATAGACATATGACAACAAACTAGCTGTAACAGGATTTTAAATTGAATGGATTGTCGAGTTACTATTAAGATTCTTAGAACAGGCAAAGATGTCTGCATTTTACAACTAAGTGGAGATATAACATAGTATCTTCTAATAAAATTACTTTTCACTATCTGAACTCAAAGTAGTTACAGATGGTATGGCTACTTTTGTCCTGGAAGTTGCAGACATCTAATAAAATGTATGAATAATTTACATTCTTTGGCAAGGACAAAAAAAAGCATTAGCCCTTTTTTTACTTCTTCAGTGAAAAAACTGGCTTGGTATGCAATATACAATGAAAGGACAGAAAACATTCATGTGCTTTGAAGTAGCTTTGCCTTGTATTCAAGTACATAAAAAACTATGTTGCTTAACCTAGGTAAGGCAAATGAATGGAGCTAGACAAAAAAATGAACATGTCCTCTAAAATATACAGGCTATTAATATTTTGTGTAAAAACAAAACTAATAAATTTAAGCAACCAGGTTGCATAGAGAGGTTGTGGAGTTTCCATCCATGGGCATTCTCAAAACTTGACTGGACAAGGTCCTAGGCAGTCTGCTCTATCTGATCCTGCCCAGGCACAGGGGCTGGCCTATATGATCTCTAAAGGTTCTTTCCAATCTCAGCTGCTTTTTGATTCTGTGAAGACATTTACAAAAACCCAAACTGAAACAGTTATCAAGGTAAGACTCCATACTTCTGACTTGAAAAGAAATTAAAGAGCTGTGTATAAATTTTATATTCCAACACTCTTCTGCAAAAGTTACAGAAAGCTTAGTTACTCACCAGGCACCAAACCTTCAGCTCTGCAATGAAATCTACTTGTAGCTTAACCTCTAGTGAGGTGGCTACTTCCATTTTAAAGGCTTATAATTGTATTATTTCTGATCATTGTAGTTTATCACATATCCCTTTGGAATGCTTTCTACACACTTCAGTATATGTGTATGATGGCCTAAATAATATGTCATGCACTCCTCTTTCCGCAACTTTATATCGTTTCCAGCTGAAGTAATGTATATTGAGATGTTACCAAAACAAATTTCTCATTTTCACCGATATTACTTAAAACATGCAAGTCTAATTTGTCAGAGAAAGAAACATCAAATACGTATTGCCTCCTTGAAAATCTTGTGCTTTTTTCAAGGGGAAAAAACCCCAGCAATGTTTGTTAAAGCCATTTTATCTCAAATCTTACATGCTGTTTTTCTTGAAGTACCTAGACTTGGAGGGGATCACTTTTAAGGGAATCTCAGCTACATTCTATGCATCGTCCTCACTCCTTCTTGTTTAAGTTAATAGCTAACAGCCAGCCAAAGAAATCTGTGTATACAATACCTACACACGGGCCGGGGGGGGGGGGGTGTAAAAACAAAAA